AGGTCTATTTAGAGGTTTTCTACTAATATATCAAAGAACAATAATTAAAAGTCAAATGAAAACAAAGTTATAGATAGGCTTAAAACACAATGTTAATTTGGCGGAAAATTCAAAACGCAGTTTTTTGATTTCAATTTTCTCGAGATTGACTGAAAAGCGCAACTTAGTACTTTGCTGAAGATCCTATATTTACATGATCTTTCATTATAAAAAGTTTCAAGTCAATCAGCGTGGAGTAGGTCAGGCACCTACATAATTTTTCTATATAAAAATGTTTAACCCAACCGTCTCGGCTTTGCTAATGAATCTCAAAGTAAGCTTTGCAGCTATTTTCTATTTGGTTTTTAGTTATTGTACGTACTTAAACTGTACTATCCGAATAAAGTATAAAACTGTAAAAGGCAACAATATCACGAACGAGACAAATGTCAGTTCGTGTGGTAAGGGCGCGTATAAAAAGCTTACAACAATATTAATTACTGATGCATATGTACCGTACTATTTAGTTATCCTTTCTGTAGTACTAAGCTGAGTCGTAAGACTAAAAAAGTAGTAAAAATAAACCTAAATCTAGTAAAACCTATGATCCTAGACCTAGTAAAAACTAAATCTCAACAAACCATAGCAAGATATACTTAAAATAAAAAGCTATTGCAAAAAACATGGCTACAAAATACGCTCAACTCGGTATGTTTTCTTCGCTCCTTGTCGCCAGCGTGCTGCCCGCCGTGATGGATTTAGACCGTTCCATCTTGTCCTTTAAGACAATGAACAACAACACTATTAATAGGATTACATAGGTTATGGGTCGTATAACACTATTTATAAGATAGAATAGGTTATGGGTCGTATAACTCTATTAATAACATTACATAGGTTATGGGTTGTATCATTATAGGCATAAAATGATATATTACTAGACATGAAATGGGTTGTGTGCAGGCTTGGACACAGGGCAGGGCATAAAACCCCAATGCCCTGTACAGGGCAGGGCATTGCAGGGCACAGGGCAGGGCATGGAAATTTGCCAATGCCCTGCCCTGTGTCCAAGCCTAGTTGTGGGTCTTATTAGTACTAAAACATTAAATGTATGTATCACAATACTGTATAGTACTATAAAATCAAACGTATGTACCATAACATTCTACAGTACTATAAAATCTGCACTATAACATCAAATACTTTAAAAAACAAAAAGTTGACCCTTCTTTGGTAAGCTCATGATACCATAACCAAAACACGAGTTCTAGCCTAGAGAACTTCTAGGTCAACCCATAACCCTAATTACACTAACAGGTCACATTACAACCCTACTACATTTTTAATATATCTGGGTCGTACCTTATGATAAATTTAGAATTTACTTAGTTTACGGGTCGTATCACCCCATCGACTCACTAACCATAGCATTAACAATGGCAGAAACTCGGCAGAACAAAAGAATACGAAACGAGTAGAACAATGAACTCTGAACATAAAGAAACATCATGCTGAAGCGTCTGGAAAACAATATCGGAATATAGTAATGAAGAACAACTAGCACGTCCTTAAAAATGTTGTTTTTAAGGTGGTGGTTAATATAAAAAATGTTATTTTTAAGACTGTGGTTAGTATAAAAAATATCGTAAAAGGTAAATTAATACGACATATCAAAAATTTTCGTATTTTACAACAGTCAAACCTCCGTATAAATTTTTAACTTAAGTAAATGTAAAAAATGCCCCTCGTTTACTTTTGCGGCTCAGCCTAAGCGCAAAGCCCAATTTTTAGGCCTTTACCCCTCTTCCAATTTTAGCTCAAGGCCGGTCCGACCTGGCCTGATTGTGAGTCTGAACCAATTCGAACCTGAGTGCGAAGACGAGCCTAGTCGGACCAAGCCTACACGACCCATTTCTCATCCTTACAAGTACGAAACCCTCCATTTAACAAATTTTGTTTTTTAATTTCAAAAACTGATAGCGTGAAGCACGTTTCATCTCACTGTGAGTTAAAACAGCAGTAGAGTTTCAACTTTTTGTTTCAACTTCTGAAGAGATTTAAATTGTCATCTCTTGAATTTTGAGTTTCGTGGACCTGCTTTACTATGACACGCAAGAAGCTAGACCAAATTTTCAATTTAATTTGATCGTCATCCTATTCACGTACTTTTTGGTAGAACTCATATTAGAAAAAACGTTCAAAAAAGGGTATTATAGAGAAGGTGTCGTACTATCAAAAGTCGTACCTAAGAAACTTGGCTGTACAGTAAAATCTCTTTAGTATGACCCTCGATAGTGTCACTCCTTCTTTGTCTATTGATCTTCCTTTGTAATATACAATTCTTATCCCAAAGTACCTGGTAGTGTGACATACCAGTTAAAAAGATAGGTTTAGGCCAGTCAATTTAGTGGCATACTAAAGAGGTATAACTGTAAGTTTGTTGTCATACTATTCACTGCAACCAAGAAGATCATGTTTAAGATTTTAGATAAAATAGACTATAATGAACATTCGTATCGATACGTATCTTCTCCCAGTACCAAAGCAAGCACATTTTTTGTCGTTCAAATAATTCTGCGCCCCTAATCCCAAAAATTTTCTATGAGAGGAAGCACAGAATTTATTAAACAGCCTAATAACTATACAGCGTTGTGTTATCTTACTCCAACTCTTTGTAACCAACTATTACAAAGAGTGGGGGTGCTAGAACACCGCTCCTCCCCAATTATTTTTTCTATTAAACTCCCCGGCCAAACATAAAATGTAATCATAAAAGAGTTGGAAATGTTGCCGTATCCCTCGACACCATTCGAATGTAATAAACTCCGAATAAACAAATAATTCGTTTCAAACCCCCGTAGGCCTAGGAAAAGGACAAAATAACTTTAGTTGACAAGCCCATTCCACGTCAATTAAACGACCGAAAGTTTAGCGGGAAAGTAGCAAACGTTTAGGTAAAAACGGCAATTACACAGAACAGACCCACGAACAAAATGACGTTCTTTAAATAGTACTATGTCAGAATGGTGATTATTTATAATAATAGATTGCAGATGATATAAACGGGGTATATTACCATTTATAGCATATTACCATTTACAGCATACACCTATTATGATAGTGTTATTGCTTAATTTGAAGCTTTCCATAGTGTTTTTGCTTAATTATTTAATGCTTTAGGAAGTAATTACCACGGATTTAACTATTTTAAGAGCTGTTATGTAAACATACTTACGAACTTTAGTATATTAACTAGAAACTGAATTGCACTAACAAGGAAATAGAGAAAGAAATTGGCTTTTAAAAATAAGTTAAAGTTTCTGAATTAATATGAAGAAAAGTGCCGATCCTGTCCCGCTCTGATTATCTTCTAGCTTATAATATAGAAAGATGATGTAAATATAAGATTTTCGGCAAAGTACTAAATCAAGCATTCCAGTAAATCCCGAGAAAAATGAGGTTAAAAAATTATGTTTTGAATTTCTCACCAAATTGGGATTGTGTTTCAAACTAATAACTTTGTCATTGTTAGACTTCTGATCATTCTTCTTTAATATGCGAGATAAGAAACTTTTAAATGAAGAAACATTTTTAAATTTATAAGCGTAGCTTGTCTGAAGAGGCGAAAAAAGTCATTAAAACACAATGCCAAGTTTGCCAAATTGACGAAAAGCCCAAATATTTATATTTTAAAACTGAAAACGCGGGCTAAAACTTTTTACAAATAGTATAAGTAGTAAAAAGAAGTTATAAAAAAATTGAGCTAATTCTGAATGGAACAAGTAGGGTATTCTTCTTTTGTTAGTATGCAAAGGCTTTTCAAAAAAACCTTGAAGAAAAGCTTACAAATCCTTAAAATTTAAATTCATCATTATTTAAAAGTTCAAACTTTTAAAAAATTCAAAGAATATCTCCTAGGAACCTTTTACAATTGCAAAGAATACAGTAAAACCAAAAGAACTAGCAAAAATCACGTATATATTAGGTTGTTCAAATCATTATGTGTTCCTCTCAAAGCAACTTTTCAAAGATAGGAGACACAGAATTAAGTGAACAACCTGATAATATTATATAAAGCGTGGTATTTCATCAAAGAAACAAAAAAGATGCTAATAGACCAGAAAGGCTTTGGAGAGGGGCACAGAATTATTTAAACAGCATAATAAAAACGGCGAACGTGTAGTTTCGAAAATTTTGAAAATCCACTTGATTTGACCTATGACAATATTGCAGGTCAATTCAATTGACAGGACTCACAAGTTTCAGGAAATTGAATTTCAAATCCTGTTACAACTTGTTCATAAGACAAAAAATAAGACTTTGAGTTCATCCAAAACACTTGAACATAAGAAATGTAAAAAGATGCAAAATATTTCACTAAACGGACCATAATGTAAACAAAAACGTAAATAATCAAAATAAAAATAAGTTTAATCCACTAAAAATATCGTATAAAATACATTAATGTAAGATAGAATAAATAATATTGTGTTAAACCTCATAATCAGTAAATTTGAAGCAAAGACTAGGACATTATACAAATAAACCCTCAACTATTCAAGGCTAATATTAAGTTTTTCAAATAATTCTGTGCTCCCTTCAAAGCAAATGTTAGAGAGTACAAAATAACTTGAAGAACCTAAAAATGTAAAACATGTTATTTTATCAAAGAATGACAAAAAAGATGCTAACATCTCAGAGAAATATAAAAATTATGTTACTATATCCAACATGCTATATCGCTTATCAAAAAATACAAAAAATTCCATAATATCCAGTATATCAAGTTGTTCAAATAATACTGTGCTCCCGTGCCCCAAAAATTTGCTTTAAGAGAGAGCACAGAACTATTTGAACAAGTTAATATACCCTATATATGGTATATAAATCATCAAAGATAAAAATCATGTTACTATACTCAGTATGATATATCACTTTATGGTATCAATGGTCATTATAAATATATCACTTTATGGTATCAATGGTCTAATTCGGAAGACAGTACAATCACAGACAGTATTTTAGGCAGAAGAAGTTGTGTTTTTAACAGTTACCTTAAAAGCTGGCTTATCGACCGATGGTTCTGGTACAACGCTTACAACTGTAGCTGTTTCAGACTCCTTTTCTTCTTTGTTGACCTTCGCATCAGTCTTCTTTTCATCTTTTTCATCCTTTACTTTATCCTTAGCGTCATTTTCTGGCGTCTTCTCTTCTTTAACCTCTTTAGAAACATCAGTTTTAGTTGTTCCTTCATCTTTCGCTTCATTTTTTGATACAACCTCCAGTTTTGGGACTTCAGTTTCTCTCTTTTCCGTCTTTACAGTACCGTTCTTGTTCACTAAATCTGGTAATTTAAATTCGTCCTTCCTGACCAAACTCTCCGCTTTTCCTGGAGTCGGATTCACAGACTTGCTTTCGATTAAAGCTGCTCGAGTTGGAACATCCAGAGGTTTCGGGACGTCCGGTTGGCCATTTGGAATCACGGTATCGAAGTAAAGCTCCTGGAATTCTCAAATTTTATTTTTTCAACTTTTTTTAAAGTTTTTTTTAATTTTTAGATTGAATTTGACGATAGATTTAGAAAAGATGCCATACCTCAGTTTGGGCCTATTAGATTGTCCAAAAAATTATGCGCCCCAAACCACAAAGCTTTCCTTTAGGAAAAGGCCCAAAATTATTTGAACAACCTAAAAGAAGGCAAAAAAATATAAATTTTAGACCTTAGACTAGGTCATCACGACATAATTGATATCACAGACATCCTACTATCTACAATTTTCGTTTTACCATTACCTTAATTCAATAAATCCCTCAAGACATAAAACATCATTTATGAATCAAAAACAATTAGACAGACACATTTCTAGCCACAGATACAGTAGTTAATTTAGCAAGCAAGAGAACATTTTCAGTAGTTAAAGGAGCCAGCTCAAATGTAGGTTCAGCTGGGTATAAATATACCTTAATTCCGATAGCCAAGAGCGAGTGTAAGACTATCACACCACCGACCAACGCAAAGGCCACCAGCTTGTTTTTGTCTGATCTGATAGCTTCCCAAACAGTTGTAGCCAGAACTGTGCCACTCAAGGCTACTGATATGATAATAAGGCCCCAGCGGAAGAATTGGAAGTGAATTATCCATAAAATCTAGAAATAAGATCAACTAGAAGCCGTATTTTACCAACTGTCGCAAAAACTTAAATTAAGTTTTATAAAGATATATACTTGTTTTATCTTGTTTAAAAAATAAATTATTAAAATAGTAAAAAATGTGTAAACCTGCTTAAAAATAAGCATTATATTATGATACGAGTTAAAAATAAAGACTCACCGAAACCGGAATGAAAATGCTGAGACTGTACCCGAAAGTGCACAACAATTCAATAAAACTGTATTGGATCGCGGCTTGTCTGTACCATAAGACCGTGTATACCAGCAATGGTACGAAGGTAACGTACAAAAAGATCAAAGTCGCTACTCCAGTAACTAAAACAATCCATATTACTCTTTGTTCGATCCCTCTTATTTTTACCTAGCCATAGATGTCATTATAAGCTCAGTTTTCAATCAAAATTTTGTAGAATTAAATACCTACCAAGTCTGAAGTCATTAGCCGTGTAGGTGTCCCCAAGTGTGTCAATGTAATGAGCAAAGTTTCCACAGATCGCGGCAAAGAACACCAATGTTACACTGACCCAGAATGGTCCTGAAATCATCATAATTCAAATAAAAATTTCACAAATCAACACAACACATCAAACTAAGTTACATTAATCTTCATTTACTCAAATAACCCAAGATACAGGTAAACACTCCCAAAAGACAATCAGATATATATTAGGTTGCTCAAATAATTCTGAGCTCCTAACCCCAAAAATTAGCTTTGAGATGAGCACAGAATAATTTGAAAAACCTACTAATGTCGTCCACTCTAATTCAACCTAACTCACCGTACAAATCCGCAGTAGGTTGAACATTGTCTCTGATGAAGTTGCCATTCATTTTTGGAACAAAACTGCCCAAGATACGACTTTGTACAGTGTCTGTGTCCACATCGAAATACTGTTTGTAGAATTGGAACGACAGAAAGTGAGGACCCGGAGTATTTACATCAGTTTGTGAGTCGCTGCCGATCAACTAAGACATTTTCTTTAAAAATTTAAAACTGACATCCTATACACATCTAGAGCTTAGATTTGCATATCTTCTAAAGTCTGTATACAGACTTATTTTAAGAACTGAAAACTTCTTTTCACCCCTAAAAGTCTCTTTAGTTAAACTCACATTAGAATTGTCCCTGGTGTTCTGTGGATCACGTTGATCATTCGATGAGTTTACTGAAGTGAACGGAGAGTCATCTCCACCAAGAGAAAAATCTAAAAACAGATATAATTACAAACTATAACACAAATCCATCCACAAATATCATGCCTACTAAATTCTTTGTACATTTAACCATCTAATATTAAAAAACAACAATCAATTTATATTAACATTTTGTTACAATCCCTTCAGTGTACTATTATTATATCAAAGCTCATAATAAAGATGTTTAACTGTATATATGTAGCTGTCACAAAATTACTATGCGTACTCGAACAAGCTATAATAACTGTACAAAGTCTCCAAAATAACCAAACTTGCCTTGAAACTGTAAATTGGCCATGTTTCGTGCGCCTTATACCCTTATAATTTCATATCTACAAAATAAATTACTGTCAAAACAATGAATCTATATTGTCAAACAAATAAAAGTAAGTGAAAATATCGATATCTCATTGTTGATGAACAAGAACCAAAACTTCGACAACCAATATAATAGTGTATTACCATTTATAAATAGTCGTAAACATAACAAAATGAGATTTCGAAAGATGGTAAATGTCGTCAACTTAAATTTTAAAAAATTTCAAACCTGTACATACAAGAGTCATTTTCATCATTTTAATTTCTAAACCTTGTCATACCCACTACACTCACAAAAGTTGACGACATTTAATTTAAAGTGATTTGTACTGAAAAAATCAAAAACAATAGTAACAAAAGTTATCATCGATGTCTTCGTCGTTCCGTTGATCTGCTTCTGCGTCGTTCTCGGCTCCTCTTCCGTTCACGGCTTCGATCTCGTCCTTTGCGTTCCGGACTTCGTTCACGTCGAGAATCGCGATGTGAACGTTCTTTTGAGCGTTCCCTTGAGCGGTTAGACCTATAAATGTTAAATAAAGTCAATAAATGTTCGATATGTACTTTTTTCATAAAATATGCAATTCTTTCATAAATGTCATCAAAGTCCCATGTTATAAACTTGTAAAAATTAACTTTTTAGCTGACAAAATTACCTATCAACATTATTTTTAAAAAATACCCTCAGGACAAAGCCTGACGCAACTATAAAATTAACTTTAAAAGCGCATATAACATAATGTAATTAAGACTCCTAAATATAAAAGACGTAGACATCTAAATCTGCACAAATTAATAGAAACTATAAATACTCAGCTTAATCGTAGTAAAAATCACTCAACATCTCCATACTTAACCTCGTCCACCAGCTTCTTTAACCAACTGTAAGTTTCGTTATAACAATCTAGATAAATTAACTTATATAGTTTCACTAAACAATATATATGCCTCTTATTATAAATTTTGTCATTATTTACTTATTCAACTCTCCCTAAATCAAAAATCAGTAAAAATGATATTATGTTGTTCAAATAATTCTGTGTCCCCTCTCAAAGCAAACTTAGAAAGTTAGAGAGCACAGAATTATTCGAACAACATAATGATAGCAACATAAATAAATTCTTTTTCATTTCAGAACCCTCGATCAAAATGAACCCAGAAGTGATCGTCATGTTGGAATCCCTTCGCCAGGAGTTCCTCAACAACCTGACTCCAAACGCCAAAGAAGAAGGGAAGAAGTTCATCGACGGAATAGCGTCCCTCGCCCCTGACTTCGTATGGCCATTTGAGGTTTTGGCCCCTGTAACACCGTCAGAACCACATCCAATTGAACGATACAGCAAGGAAGAACTAGACGAGATCACCAGAAACGCCCAGGAGAGAACCGACCGTTTGAAAGCAGCTGCTGTCCACGACGCTATTGTAGAGAGTAAGAAAGGAGAAGCCGAGAGCCCAGTAGTCGAACCAAAACTTGGTCGATTTGTTAGCTGGGTAGACAGCTACACTTATAGCCAAACAAAGAAAGAAGCAAAAATGATCATAAAAGCTACAGAGAATAAGAAAGAGCAATAACTAATGAATTCTAATAATATTGTCAGTATCTCAATAAAAATCAGTTTTAACCTTGACATTAGAAACAATTTTAGAATAATTAATAAAAAAATCTAGAAACACTTGTTTTAATATAGTAAAACTCAATATTACCTTCGTTCATGTTCTCTATCTCGTTCTGATCGAGACTTCTTTACTGGTGGTCGTTCTTCTTCGCTTTCTTCACAAGAACATTCACCTCCACTACAGGAACATGAGCAACTAAAAACAACTTTAAAATACCGTCGTTCAATCAAGGTTAAAGTAACATAAAAAAAATATTTAGGAAAAACATTCAAAATTATATTTTAACAAAAATGATACCCAAATTTTTAGGTAACAAAACATATAACTTACTCTGAAGAACAATCTCCTTGTCCTTCATCCTTCTTCTCTTCAGATGTCTTTCGTTGTAATTTTGATAAATCAATGTCAATTTTAAGCTCCGGGTCTGCTGTTAAATCGTACTTGCCCAAATCAGCATCTTCTTCCTCTTCTTCTTCATCATCTTCTTCGTCTGGCTAAAATGACATAGTTTATTTCATTTATAATGATTAAAAAGTATTATATTACAGCCTTTGATCAAAAGTAGTAAGAACAACCTTTATTTAACAAATAATATTATCGGCTTATCTTCCTAATAATTATAGAATTTGGAGCATTTTACTCCAAATTACCTAAAAATTAAACAAAAACAAGGAAAAGCTTACATCGGCAGCAAATATTTTATCCACATCAACATCATCCAACTGGATTTCAACTTTTGATGTCGTTTCTCCATTGTCGTCATCCTTTTTCTTCTTTTTACGACCAAATTCATCAAACTGTTCGTCGTATTCTCGTTTCACGTATTCCACATTCTGTCTGTCATTGTAACCGCCACCAAAACCTTAACAGAACTTTTTATTTAATTAGAAATGTTAACCTTAATCTTATGCAGCTAAACGTCTTTAAATTTGTACAATTTTAAGTATAAAACAATAAAAATTTATTCAATTGCTAAAATTAGGTATAGCGCAGATGTATGAGTCAATATATATAATTGAAGCTAACTGAAAACTTAATTATTCAAAGGAAAAGCAAGCTGAAACAATGAAGATGTAAAAGGATTACCTTTGGACACATACCTGTCCTTTGTTCGGCATCACTGAATCGTTTAGCGTTACACAAATTACAAGTGTTTCTTCTGGCCCAATTTACATTGCCACATCTAAAAAAACCCAGTAAAAAACAACTATTCCCTTTAATTTATATTTTCTTCCCAAAAAGACACCAAAATTTAACAAAAGAACCCGAATTTTCAATGACAGATAACATACTTTGTACAAGCCCAATCCTCGGCCGAAAACAATCCCTTGCTCTTCTCTGCCATCTGCTTTCCAAGCTCTGCTGCTGCACGAACCTTGGGTTTTGGTTTGTCTAAACATAGAATAAGAATAATACTCAAAAACTTACTTTTTCCGCATCCTTCGCATACTCGGAAGTGTTCCTGGTTAATTTGTGAACATTTACCTTCCTGACAAACCCATTCTCCTGGTTTTAATGGTCTGCGAGAGCTTTGTGGACCTTTGGTGTCCACATTATGTTCTGGCATTGTTAATTGTTTCCGTTATTCGGTAAAACAGCCAGCTAAAAAACGTGGATAAATTGCGAAAAAAGCGGAATGCCATTCACGCGCTTTCGTGGCGGAACCGAATGGGTTATGTGTGTCGGCTATTTTTGATAGTAAATTCATTGTTCTAATGTAAATAAAGAGTTTTACCATACATTTGTAATAATGCTAGGGCAGTAGGTACAAGTTTAGTATTAGTAAATTATTAAACTATTTTAATCCTGCTTTTTTAATGTTATTCGTCTATTTTTATTGGTATACCTATTCCTTGATGATTTGCCTTTTTACAAAACAACCTTTGGCACATACGGACAGCATAGTAAGTTTCCAGAACAAAATAATTTATTATAACATTAATAACAGTTATTATTATATTAAAAATGAGTTGGCAAAGTGAGAAATAGAAGCGTCCGACGAATAAATACAGAAAGGTTAGTTGATGGGTACCATGATGCATCATGATGTGGTTGATTACACTGAAAATAAAATTATTAATCCTTATGATAACAAAAAGTATAAAAGAAACACAAAATAATTTGAAACGTGAAGCCAAACCACCAAACAACGAACTATCCAATACCAAACGCTCAACAACTACACCGCCGGTGCACCGTCGTTCATCTACATTACTACACAACACTATACATTATCACAAGCACAACGACCATTTACATATGTTAATGTACCTGGAATCCAATGTGTTATGCTAAATTTGCATAAACGGATAATTATAAGGCATGTAGGTCAACTACAATATAAAAAATAGTTTGATACTACATATTAGGCTACAGCATAATATCCTGTACATCGTAATGAAGTGTATAGTACTCTTATAGTGTAATGTATAGTACTGTTGTAGTGTTTAAGCGTTGGCAGAGAATAGATCGGTCGGTTGTGTGGCTTCACCGCTTCGACTGTGTCGCGAATGAATCGACCGGTATTCTACAGAAGGCTCACTTTGTTGAGGCAAGGCTTCGTATCCAGGAGGATTCTGAATGAAGCCAGGGGATTGTACTAGAGGTTGAGGTTGACTACGGCTCATGAAACCACCCAGAAGTTCCATTGGGAGAGGGAAGATGATGGTCGAGTTGTGTTCGGCACTGAAAGTAGAGATTTTTTAGAAACAACATTAATTATATAAGGTCAGATAAGGTACGTATTGACTTATATTACATTTTTGATGTAAAATATAGAAATTTTTAAACATTTGAGAGCCCAAAAAAGCAATTTTTAAGTTATATCAATACCTACAACAATATAAACATTTAAAAAATCCTGTTTCTTTCCTTACCTAATAGTGTTCAAAGTTTGCAGATATCTCAATTGCAAAGCAGCTGGAGTCTCGGACAACACAGTAGCCGCAGTTCTCAACGATTCAGAAGCCAATCGTTCACCATCAGCGGCGATAACTTTAGCCTTTGCTTCACGGTTGGCTTCGGCTTCAGCAGCCATGGCTCTTTGCATGGAATGTGGCAGTCTGATGTCTTTAACCTCAACTCTCTCGACCTTCACGCCCCAGTGTTCTGTAGCCTCATCAAGGGTTCTTTGCATCTCGGCCGAGATTTGTTCACGATGGCTCAGCATTTCGGCCAATGTTTTGGTACCCAGGACATTTCGGAGTGTTGTTTGAGCTAGTAGACGAGTAGATCCATTCGCGTTCTCAATGTTAACAATGGAGGCGATGGTGTTGCAGATACGGAAATAGACTACGGCGTCTACGTTGACGGTAACCGAGTCTTTGGACAGAATCTGAAGTTATAGTAGCGAGATAAGCACAGCTTAGTTAATAGTTTTAAAAATGCGTACTACGATGAAACTATAATTGAATGTTAAGCTTGGTCAATACTAGGGCTTTTAACCGTTCTTCAAAGCTCAATCACTTACTTCTTGTGGAGGAACGGAGAATGAAACAACACGAAGATCAACCTTAACATAGGTGTCAATGCATGGGTAAATAAAGAACAGTCCAGGACCTTTCTCTCCGCCTTCCAACAGTCGTCCTAGACGGAAAATCACAGCACGTTCGTACTGTTGAACAATCTAAAATATTAAATTTAAAAATTGAGGAAACCATTAAAAGTGCAAACATTAGACGTTTTAAATGAATTTTTGGTGATTAATATGCTAAAATAAAAAATAGATAATATAAAAAACAAAAAACTGCTAGTAGATCAAAGCTCTACATTAGGTTATAAGTAGACCAGTTAGTACTCACCTTGACGCTGAAGAAAACAGTAAAAGGAAACAAGACCCAGGTCAAGAGCTTGCTGATGAAGATCAAGAACGATGAGAAGCCGGTTGGTGCTTGTGCCGAGTCCAAACTCATTGGTCCTTCAATTTTGACTGAAGTTGAAGCTTCTTGAGGTCTAGATTGGGATTCTGAAGCCTTGTGCTCTGCCATTTCAAGACCTTCCACTGAATGAGGTTCTGTCATTTGAACTGAAACGATATTATCTTAATAAAATATTAGTTTGATGCTTAAAATTTGATGTTTTTCAATCGGTATATTAAATAAAAGATCACGAGGTTAGATAAACTAGATAACATTCATATTTTTTTGTAAAAACGTGTGTTAAAAAGCTCCAATTCCTTGTATTTTGAACAGTTTGGTCGAGATAAAGCAGCAAAATTCAGTAAATTTTGGTGGTACCTAAACAATTACGAAGATATAAAGTTCCAAAACATAAAAGTTTACACAAAACCAATATATCGGTCCGAAAAAACAAAAACACGAATATATAGATCAGATGGGAAAGTGTTTATGGTTTTATAGAGCAAATAAGAAAGAAAAACAATAGCCACGATCAAATTCGAATCAATGTCGCGCGCCAATTTATCGCAGCTGCATAGCTCTGAGCAAACTCGTAAATTACACTAAGTTTGGCTTGCGATTTGTGACAAAACTGAAAAAAGTGAATTAAAACTTTTTTCTTTAACTCTTCGTAGTTCAAACTGAAAATTCCTTAATTACCCCTAGTTTGTCCTATGTTATGAAAGGATAAAAAAGAAACCTAGAAAAATTTAACTATGGCTACTATTTATAGGGGTCAGAAACGGACTGGACCCACTTTTTAGGCCCTGTCCAAGACAGGTCAGGCCCGGCCCATTTTCATTTTTTTCGGACCGGCCCGGCATGGCAAAAAATGCTAACCCGGCTTCGCCCTGCGCGTTTCAACTTTCGTTTAAGAATGGCCCGGGCCGATAGTAGACAGGGCTTAGCCGGGCCTACACGGTCCGTTTCTCACCCTTATATGTATATGAGCCTCAAAAAATCATGACGTCAATGTATAATTATATTCGCGTTCAGAAACGACAAAACTTTTTTAGAACCTTACTATACTAAAAACATACAGTAAATTAAGTTCATTAATACAATAAGTTTCTTAATTGAAACAACTTTTATCTCCTTTATATTCAAAACAAAGACCTGCACCTGCTTATGTCATTGATAACATTATTTGTTCTGATGACGTTTGTAAACTATACTTACTCATACAATTTTCACCTTGTTTCAAAATCAAAACGATAAAAAATGACGTTAAAAGACCTGTTTTAAAAGCTGATATCTCATTGTAACTCGTGTGTTACTAATTGATAAGTTATTATATTATATTACTTCGTTTAAATAATTCTGAGCCTCCTTTCAAAACAAGTTTTTGGGGGTTTGAGGCACATAATTATTTGAACGGCTTAATAAAACAGGTATTGCAAAATCAAAAAAAAACCTATTTTAATATCAAAAGGTTTTGGTAAAACGTATTTTACTAAAAGTTAAGTTCTTATAAGCCTTTCCTTATCAACAACCCTTCATATTGCGAGTAATATAGGTTCTATATTTATGCCAAATTAAGAAGAATGTAAACATAGACGGTTATTCGTCTTGACGTACTATCAACACACAAGGAACGGCTGTGTCGTATTCTGTTTCGAAAGAGTTTACGTAATAACAAAAGTTAAAAATAAAGTAAACTTGCAGAGTAAGCAAGATGTCGTTGCACAGTAAATATAACACGACAAAAAATAATGAGGTACAGACAAATATCTTTAGCATGACACACAAGGGACTGGTCCAAACTTGTCCTTATAACCAGGGTGTCATAATAGGTACTTTTGGATATTAGTTCTACTACAAAAGGCGGTCAAAAAGCTGTCATTATAAAGAGGGTGTCACACTATAGAAGATCATACTAAAGAGCTTTCACTGTGTTTCAAAATAAAAAATACAGTAGTTCTTTTCTTCCTCTCCCATCCTATTCTTACCTATAGTCTTAGCCATACATACTTTCACTGTAACAACGTTTTTAAACAAAAGAGTATGAAAAACTATAAAAATAGTTTTTTGAGACAACCTATACGAAGGAAACACGTGGTGAACCCATTTAGCATATAGATAAACATATGATTCACAAGCGACACGTATCTTCACCTAAATATTCAAATGTCAGAACATAACAAAAGTTAGTATTGTAGTTTCAAAAGAGTAAAAACAGTTTCAGTAACGCTTTATCAAGCCATAAATAAAAGGAAAAAGGGTCGAGATAGACGTTTAAATTTTGGTAAGATCATCACCCCTCAAATAGTTTTAAAAATAATACCTTTGTCCTAGCAAATAAGCATATAATAGATACCTGACTATTAGCGTCTCTATATACTTACCTAGAATAAAACAAAGTCACAAAAACAAATTTAAACGTTGGGTTGAAATTTGAAAAAGTTGAAAACAAACTCGTGTTTACTAGTAAAACTGTTTACCATGTTATTTATTAACTCTTACTTTCACCTGTTTATTAAAAACAAAAATGGGAACAAGCAAGGACATAGACATTATGTTACTCTTGTTTACAGTGGTCAACTGTACATTTCGTGAAGTGGCATTAAATAAGCATGGAAAAGTTGTACTGCAGGTGTAAAACTGAGAAATCGAACACAAAATATGTATAAGGGTTAGAAGAGTAAAGTTTAATACCAGAAAACATGTATAATACTATAGCCATAGTTTATTTACTTTAAAATTTCAAAACGTTTGTCAAGGATAAGGTATGAAATAGAGAAACAGGGTAAAACTCTTCAATAAAAGGTACAGTGAAACCTCTTTGGTAAGACCCTGAAAGAACCAAAAAGCTAATATAAGTTGCTTGTCATAGTATTCACGTACTTTTTGATAGAGTTCCTATGAGAAAAGGCGTTCAAAAATCTGTTCTTATTAAGAGGGTGTATTACTCTCAACGGTCATACTAAAGAGCTTTGACTGTACAGCAAAACCTCTTTAGTATGACTCTTTACATATAGTGTGTCATCTTCTTTATAATGACAACCTTCTGACCGCTTTTTTAATAGAATTCATATCAATAAATAGTGTGATACTCTGGTCATAAGAACAAGTTTGAACCAGATCCTTGAGTGCCATACTAAAGAGGTTTAACTGTAAATAAAAACATTAAAATAAATGTTAATAGACTACAAAATGTCCTTGCAAAACGTTGGGTTTTTGCCGCAAAACATTGAAAAAACTTGATTATGTCGGTATCAGTTTGAATTTACAAATTACTCTACCAATTTGGAACCGACCCGCTTAGGTTTTTTTAAAATTAAAGTCGAACGAAAGCTTTGTTTCTGACACAGAACGCCAATGTTTTGCCAGAACGTTTCGCTGTTCTTTAAGAAAAGGTACCCTTAATATAGCTAACAAAAAGCTACTTTTTATACTATGAAAGCTCCTCCAGACCATCAAGAAACAGCTTAAAATTTGCATAAATAAACATAAACCGCTAGAGCAAACCAATCAAGAAGAAAAAGAGGGTATCTCTTCAAATATTTGCTATTAGCTTGCGCTGATCGCCAATCTTTTAAGGACGCATTATGCTAAAAAGACCTCTCAAATCCGAGTAATTGTCGCACATGTCCAAATGAAGGATCTTAAGATCAGCTGTCGCCAGGCTAGCGATGGCATTGCGTGTTGACGATCTTAATATATTATTCAGGTATATAAATTTTGATTTTACTGTGGATTTGGAAAGAACCTATAGGCTTGGCCGGTCTATTTACACGTCTATTTTACTGTAAATTATATTGTAAAAACCCTCTAGGCTATAAGTAACAAAAAAACCCATAACTCATGACTTCAGAAAACACATGAATCTGAAGAAGTCTACCGTGTCAAGATTCATAAAATGAATGACATCCAGGAAGGGATCCGATTACTTTCGACATACATAAAACGAGTATTTACCGAAACAAAACAAGCACGAAATGAATAATGCAAAGTCGTTTGATTGATTGAGCCAAACATGAGTATCTTACCTGGTTTGAACTAATATATGTTGTTTTAGAAACATTCTAAGTAACGTAAACAATGCTACAATAAAATGCACGTTTTATTTGTTTTTTTTAATTAATAGAACAGTAAAGAATTAACTACGTATAACTAATTAGAATGTATAGATGTCATAAAGTTACTATACGTGCGAGAACAATAGATACTATTCTTGTAGCTAAACATATTAGTGCTGAGAGACTAAGTTCTTATAATAACGTGCTTATGAAAGCCTAATAAATGTAATAACATAATTTCTTTTGTAGATTTCTTGATAAACATAAAATAATGTGACTTCTGATTTTAAAAGTCGGCTTTTGTGTCACATTCTAATCCAGTAACGGGATTTTTATGTCAATGTTAAATCATGCACTGAGCCTAGTTATAAGAGGCTTTTTAACGGTGATGTTAATGTATGTGTCTGTAGCAGCATTCTTTGTGTTGATTTTACTACAATAAAACTCCAGTATAACAAGTTGCTATAACAAATTGCTCGAAAGTTATAAATTTGTTCTGTATATAGAAGTTTTAGTACAGAAGAGTTTTAAATGCACTTCTACGTTATTTATGACCATAATGTCTTTAATTTTGACAATGGGAATATTTCGAACATTTTCTTGATCAAGCCGTGATCTATTTCCTCACATCCCAAGCCATGCTTTAAATGTGGCCAAGTAACTGGTAGCAGTATGAGTCGGGTCGTCTTCCTCTCGTTTGACCAGATCGTTTTTCAAACTTAGCCGGAAACGATTCGAAGACGGCTAAAAGCTTTAGAGTTCGTATTCGAGACAAAAGTTCCTTAATTTATTTGACATTGTTTTAGCTGGGGGACATTGTTTAGTAGTTGGCTATTTTTTATTAATTTTTTCAATTTTTGCAAGTATATATGAGACATTTTCGATAATTTTATTTTTTGAAATAGGTGTTGTCTAAAAATTAAAAAATTTAAAGTTGAATTGATCGAGAAGTTAGGTTTTTAAAAAAGTAGACTTAACAGTTCCCAATCAGGCTGCATACATATGCTCCTATTTCTTGAGCTACCGAGTCGTGATGAGGCATTCCTCAAGAATTCAGGCCGTAGTCGGAAGTCTGCGTAGGCCAAGCAAGCGATTTGTTATAGC